TAGTCCAAACATTTGTGCAACCATGGGTGTGATTTGGCGGGGGGGGGGGGGGGGGGGGGGGGCATGTCCCTCAGACAGTTTCAGCGGTAAGTTTTGTACATTCATGATTACTACTTATTTTTACTTAAACACGGTGATACATCAAGTACATTAGGTCCACCAACCAAAATTTCCAAAACTAAAAGTAAATATTGAATTACTGACAACACCCCCACCCCACCACCATCACTAAAGAAATAAAAAAAAACTCTCTTTTGTGCAACTTCTATCATGTTTTAATCATATTTTATAGATTTTCAGTACTTTGAAACCATTAATTGTTGGGATTCTATTTTCAAAATGAAACAAAACATAAATATGAATTTTTATTTCTTTTTTTAATTTTTAAAGGAAATGAAACGTCTCACAGTAAATTCATTGTTCATCCTCATTATATTCGGAAATATACACTAATTTAAATTTTGACACCAAACTTGAGTACTTTGACTCATTTACCAGTCTACAAGAGTATTCATAAAACAACATTTTTCTCAAAAAAGCATCTTTAAAAACAAAAACTGCGTTATAATGTGTTTTATTTTGTTGGTCCATCTCATTATAAATAAAGAATAAACTTATTTTCTTCAGTTTTCTATCTGGATATTTTTTTACATTTCTACTAGTTAGGCTTTTAATGTTCTGATATTTCTGACAACCTTTTATAAACTTATCTTATAAACTGAGTTTTTTCATATTAAATCGGATCAAATCAAATCAAAGTATTTTTTTCATGTTGCGTGTCTACTTTATTGAACTGGTGCTTTAGCTATTTTTTTTACTGTCAAATAATGAAACATCCTGAAAAATATAAATATGAATGAAACACCACAATAAAAATAAAGTAATTAAACAAGCTGATCTGTTTAATAAAGGTGGACACTGGATTACCACAGAAAGGAATGACTGAAAACAAAATGGTAGCATGCTTTTTGGTTAAATCTCTTTCCACTGTGTGTCTTACATGTTTGTGTTATATGTTTGTGTGTATTCTAAGTTCATTCAGAAGATTTCCACCTCAGATGTTTTTTCCATAGAAAAAAATCTTTAGATGTAATTTTTGCTGACTTAGTTTATCTCATGTTGTAAACCCTTGTTGCTCGTCTGTCTTTGAGTCACCTCCTGACAAATATACCGCTTATGCTACCTCTCTTTTATTTTTTTACAGTTCAGACAAGTCTCTGATCTGAAGGCTCTTTACAGCAGGTAGCGTGGAGAGAAGATTTGCTCTTTTCCTGTCAGATATATCCTTGCCCTGCGCTACCCTGCAGCCCGCTGCACACTCTCCATTCACTATTTATGGCGGCGCTTAATTCCCAATGGTCTGGTAAAGCGCTTCAGCTGCAGGTGAACTCAGAGATATAACAGAGAGTCGTACCCTCAAACCTGACACAACATTACAACGGAGATGAAAAATAGCTCTGACTCCATCTCACCGGGTTAAAGATGAAAATGTAGAGCCGGTACTGTGATACCAGATTGATTCCAGACTGGTGTTTCTGTGGTTTTCCGAAAAGGAATACACACTGCAATGTTTTTGCTGTAGCACTGCCTCTCTCTGTTCACCTAATGGATGTCACCCAAGAGACCCACAAACACACGGCAACCTGCAGCACCAGTGGGATTGGACAGGGGGACAAGAGGAGATGGGACAGAGAGGACACAAGAATAGAGATGTCAACACAAAGTCGTTAGGCTTGCACAACTCTATTCTACGTCTATTATTTTTGAGACACACAGACTCACACACTCCCTGTCCTTTTTTTCTTCCTCATTCCAACAGATGGATCTGTCCCTCAGGCCATGGACGTTTCCAGACAGCCTCTATTGTTGCACCCTGTTTCTTTTGATTACAGGAAGGTCTCATTTTACCAGACCTCTCAAACCTACACATAACCTGCAGTTCAGTGTGTGTGTCTATGAAAAAAGAATATATGTGTTGGAGATAAAGATCTCATCTTCCTCTGGTCGTTGCATGTCCGTGTATTGTTGAAGGCTGGATGAGGTTTGATGCGACAGATTGTCTCTCTGCAGACAGAAATCTTCTGTTACGTTCCAAGGAATCAGTCCCTTATATGTAATCTGATTAGCTCTTTCCTCTAGACCGAGAGTTTGATTCCATTCCTAAAATAATAGCAAAAACTTGTTGAAATGCTAAGAGACAGAAAATCCACCAGTTGTCCTGGAAAAGGCCGTTACACCACATCACAGCCACTTATGCAGAGACTGAATATGAGCTGCAAATTGAGCTGTGCACTGTTCAATGAATTGAATCTGACCAGCCAATAAAAGCTAGCTGTCGTCTGCAAAAAGGGGTCGTGCTAGGGTCATGGGCCTTGCCCCTGATCCAGACAGACAGCCTCGATTTCTTGTTTTCCCCAAAACACAAATGAGTGAAATTCATACTTCAGCAATGTCAACTTCCCTCTGCAGTGCTGTCACTTACAGACAGGTCTCAGAAAGTACAGGGAGGGAGAGAAACCCAGGATATATCCAGTGTCATTTCCTGTTCTGCAAAGCGATGTCTTTCTGACCTTGTTCATGATATGCCTTCATGCTTCTCAGTATCGTCCTCCCTGGCACTGCTGTGCATGATTCTGTCTTTCTGTCTCTCCTTCCTAACCCTCCCCGTTTCCTTCTGTCTTCATTCCTCTCGTTTCTTTTTATTACTCACGCTGGAGTTTGCTGCTGGCTGCAGAGGCAGAGAACTGCAGACCTCAAAAGGTAGATTTTTTCTAGATTTCGCTTGGATTTTCACACGTGGGAAGAAAAAAACATAATGCAAAACTTTCAACATGATTTACATGCTTCATCTCTTCTGTAAGCTCAGATACTGAATGGGACAAATGTCTAAACAACAGATGATTTCACACGCTGTTTTTACAGGACCATAGCGTTTGCAAAACGGGATTTGCCGCGGCTAACCTGGGGAGGATTTTGGCATTTATAGTAGCAAAGCTGAAGCTAGAATAACCTGGCATCAGGCACCTCTCAAACCAGGACGGGATAAAGGGAGGTCGCTGCGCCCCCCCCCCCCCCCCCCCCCCCCGCCCCCCCCCCCCCCCCCCCCCCCCCCCCGCATGTGACGTACAGGGT